ATTTACTCAAATTTATATTCATGAAAGCAGATGTTAAAATTTTCACTTGTGGAGAAATAGTCAATATGAACATTTACAGACCTGGAAATCAGCAAGTACCTCAGAGGATAAATTAGATCTTACAATGGATAGGCAAGTTGAATAAGTCAACATGGACAAAAAGGTCATCTAGTTATGGGAGTTATTACCATTTTTATTCTTGGTACTTTCAGATATGAGTACAGTTTTTAAAAATGATAATATTTGCTTTTTTAGAAACATCATCTCCATATTGTCCTACTAAATTTATCATTGTTGCGAGAATTGTCGTTTATGTGTTGAGTGAAGCAGTGTGTATTAGTTAATAACCCTAAGCGTCAACTCCTGGTTAAGTTGGGTAAGTTCGGGGGCACCTGGGTGGCTCAGTTGTTAAGCGTCTGCCTTCGGCTCAGGTCATGGTCCCGGGGTCCTGGGATCGAGCCCCGTATCGTGCTCCCTGCTCAGCGGGAAGCCTGCTTCTCCCTCTCCCACTCTGCCTGCTTGTGTTCCTTCTCTTGCTGTGTCTTTCTCTGTCAAATAAATAAAATCTAAAAAAAATAGAATAAAAAAGATAATAATTTTTATGTATACAAATAATATATATGTATACTCTTTTGACAAAAGTGTCACACATTATAGTATATGTATATAATGTAAAATCCCTCTAGAATCTGTGCGTGGTCCCTATCCACTACTCAAGAGAGGTAATCAGATACCTGTGTGCACCCTCGGATCACTTGCATTCTCTCTCTCTATCTCCTCTCTCTCTCTCACACACACCTCTCTTGCATGCATATCTGCAGAAAGGTATAGTATTGTGTTTGGTTTTAGCAAAAAGTTCATCACACTGTGCAAATGCTCCATTCACCTCTTGCATCAGATATCTTTCTTTGCCGGGGCAGAGAGCTACCTCATTCATTTGCTACAGAGCAGTCCAAAACGTGGATGTACTGGTTTTATTATTCATTTGTCTGTTGGTGGGCATCTAGCCTGTTTCCCCATGTTTCTACCCTTGGCACCAGTGCACAGTGAACATGCTTGTGCTTGTGATTAGTGTTCATCTTAGGTAAATACGTGAGATCACAGTGTCTTTAATTAGTATATATTACTTTATTGGCTTCTAAAGTGACCGTGACATTTTTAAAGAAAAGATTTCGGATTGTTTTGAAGAAGTTTTGTATTCTGGCAAGCCTGTCCCATAATTATTTTTTATTATTTTTATTTTATTTTACTGATAATGTATTTGTCTCCTTTAGGTAGCACTTGCAGCATATCATCCCAGATCAGTACCCTCTCCCTTTCTTAAAAAATAACCTGGAGGTCTCCTTTCTACTTAGAGTCACTGCAAAGCTTCTCCAATCCATGGTCCCAAAGTAACTTTAACATTCTCTAGTGGTCAATTTGCCAGTGAGACATGATGGCCGAGAGGCTTAGTGCTGGTTCTGTCAGCCTTGTGATCTGGGGCAAGGTATGTTCTCCTAGGCTTAGGGTCAGGATTGAATGAGTTACTGTATGTAAAGCATATGGCGGGGCATATGGTACATAGCGGGGACTCAGTAATTGTTGGCTGATTCTTCCATGTAGCTGCTGCCCGTTACTCAGCAAACACTATCTGCCTATTATGTGCTGGGAGCATAAAGATAAATAAGACATGGTCCCAGTGCTTGAGGAGCTTACATTCTAACATGCATGTGTTTGCTCAAAATCTAAGTACTTATTCCCTTCTTTCTATTTAAACTCTGTCCATGGCCTAGTTTGCTTTCCTCCCATGTCAGCTGACTTCTGCATCATGAAGGACAGCCTCTCACATCTTAACTCATTCTCTTTAATGGTGATTCAGCACCTACTACATCCCCAAATTATTGTTAAAAACTGGAATGCAGAGATGGTGTGTAAGACAATCTGTAAGGAGCTAACAGGCTCCAGGGAGGAGAAAAAAACAAAAAAAACAAAACTTCAGAGTTCTGCAAGACTCTTTCCGCTTCTCTATGATGGCTTTCCACCTGTGGACTTGCTCTGTTTTTACCTTGCATTGCCTCTGTTAAAGATAAATAATCTCCATTCTCTCTTTCTGGGGACAGAGGGTGAGGTGTTAGCAGCAAGGGAGTTCTTAATTCTCTGTCTTTATCAATGACATAACTCTTTGGACTACGCTTGTTAGGTAGGAGCTGTTTTCTTTCCCAGGACTGAAGAAAAACCAGAGGGGCTTAGAAATTCCTGGCCATCCATGCCCAGGTGGAACCAATTTGGTAAAAGAACCTTTTGCTGCAAAGATTCTGCAGGTCACTGAGACCGATCGGTTCATACCCATGCTTCCCAGGGAGTTCTCCCCTCAATCCCATGAGCTTCTTTGGGAATGGCACACTTTAGGGAATTCTTGACCTAGAGTAGGAAAAGGTAGCAGTCCTTTATCCCCCTCACATAGATTCTTCTTTAAAAAGTAATAAATTACCTTTGATGACTCAGGGATACCTCCTTGCTTTGATTACCATTACAAGATTTATTTGGTTTGTTCATAATAAGTGTATTAGGTTTGATCTTACTTTAAAAGCCTGTCCTGGCACAGATGTCTTGCTGAACTGTGAATGGACATCGAGGCTCCTTTTAAAGGAGACTTAAGCATTTGTTGCCACAACCGGATCTGAGCATAATACTGAGCTCAAGAAAGATCATTTTCTCAACAGAAATAATTTATTATTGCCAGAGGTAATGTGAAATTATTTATTTTTTCTTGAAGCATGTTTTTTGTAAATGTTTTCCAGAGATACGTGACTTGAAATTAATGACACTCTCCTTTGTAAAGACTTTATTTCATTTCATGTACTCTATTGACCCCCTGGGAGAATATCCAGTCTAGAGAGGAGAAAACGGACGTGGTGCCAAACAGCCACGAATGCCTCCAGTAGATGAGGTGTTCGCCTGAATGCTTCATGGGGGACTTCATCCCTATGCTGTATTTTGTGTTTTTTGGCATCTTTGGTTCATTTGTGGAAGCTTGTCTGTTAGAATTCCATATACATTTCATTGGCTTTGAAAGATATTGGGGTTGACATAAACCTACTGAAAGGAAAGTTTGCATCGAAAGTAATACATTTCCTAGTCAAAGAAAACACCGTTGTTCTGGCATCAGTGGATGTGATTTTTGTTTTCTTTTAACTTCCCAGTAGTAGTGAAGCTATTTGGGTCAGTTATCTGGTAATTGTCAGAAGGAAAGTTATATGTATATTTTACTGGTTAGTGGTTCAGACTGGCCATAAAGTGGGAGGGAAAAGAAAAGGACCTTCTTCCCCCACACATGAGGTCATACTGCTCATCACAGCTTTATGAACATAGTAAGAAACTGAAGTCATCTCTGACTGAGGTTGTCGAGTTGGAGGCGTAACATCTCCCAGAAAAGAACTTCTGTGAGAATTCTGAAAAATCTGTTGATGGAGGCTTCTGCCCATTTAGTATTGTCAGCATATTACTATTGATGTCTTACAATTTCCGGTGTACTTCTCACATAAACCTATAGTGCCTCAGCTAGCTGCATTTTCATTATTTTCCACCAGTCCCACCGATTCAAACTTCCTTCCTTTAACTATTTGCTTTCATCTTCTCTAAGCACTGGGGATTCTTCTTGGCTTCCAGAAAAAGTCCTCCTTACTCCCTTCTCCCACTCCCCATTTCTCTTTACATAGCCTTCTTTGTCTAAAGAGTGTCCTGGTGATCAGCACGCTGTGACAGAGTGTGTGTGAGGCCTGGTGGGTAACGACTGACAACTGCAGGTACGTGTCCAGGGCTCTTAGAACCTTAAAAACCTTCTGCCGTATGAAATAGGATAGGGCCAGTCTTTCTTCTTTTGATTGCTTGCTTTCCTGATTGCTCTTTTGTAGGAGATCCAGTATCTCTTCTACATACTCAGTCTGTATTAGGAGTGTTGGATTTCTCCATAACTCCCCTCTCCGTCTCGGAAATAGACCCAAGGCTTCACTCAGGACCAGAAGATATAGTTAGGGTGGCATGACAGATAGAAATTAGTGAAAAGTTTAGGCTTATCCAAAAAAATAAATGTTTGATACATCTGGGACTTCTTCAAGCTGTCCTCTGCTTTATATAGCAAAGGACAAAATGAATCACTCCATAACAAGGGGTCCTAAGAGATACCAAACTCAATTAAAATTGATTTAACTTGGGGCACCTGGGTGGCTCAGTCGGTTAAGCGGCTGCCTTCCGCTCAGGTCATGATCCCAGGGTCCTGGGATCGAGCCCCGCATCGGACTCCCTGCTCGGCGGGAAGCCTGCTTCTCCCTCTCCCACTCCCCCTGCTTGTGTTCCCTCTCTCGCTGTCTCTCTCTGTCAAATAAATAAATAAAATCTTAAAAAAAAATTGATTTAACTTCTGGGGAGCTGTCCAGATTATACTCCACAAATACTAATATGATAATATCCATTTTAGCCATAAAGCATCTCATTGGATCTCGTGTCTCTTTTCCTAGATTATAGATCATGGGCAGTAATAGACTGTCTCTCGAACCAACAGAGTGTAGACCTCACTGCTTCAGATTTCCAGCACGGAAGGCGAGCCGTGAAGAAGTAGGCTCACATGGCTCTGTTGGAGAATGGCCGTACACGTGACAGGCGGCCTGGCCTGGAGTGGGGCTAACCTTTTCTCATTTAAAATTCTCTTTTCCCTCCAGAACTCATTGGAGAATCATTTGCATGTTATATTTCATCTGCGTTTATCTCATCCCAAGCTCTTCATCCTTCTGTTGAGTTACATGTTCTCCGGAGTAAATGTTTTCTACTGTCTGACAGTGTAAAAAAAAAAAAAAAGAAAGAAAGAAAAGAAAGAAAAAGGTGAACGGTGGCACAGTTAGCATGAAAAATGGTGAAGATAGGAATAGAAAACGGGAAAATGTATGTCACTCTGGAAGTTCTGTACAGTATAAGAAAAGTGGAGCAATCAATTTCTATTAACATATATATTCTTTTAAATTTAGGAATAGACGGACAGTCTGTGGAAGTGTCCAATATCGTGGACATCCGAAAAGAACATAACCGTGAGATTGCAATGAGAATTTCTTCTAGCATAAACAGTCAAAACAAATTTTATACTGACCTGAATGGATATCAGGTAATTTTCCCTTAAAATATCTAAGTAATAGCTGTGTTAGTGTGTAACTTTTATATATGGTAGTGGGCCAGTTAATTTTGGATCCTTTGAAAAATATGCTTAAGTTAAAAATTATTTCTAAAGGAAAACTGAATTTTAACAGGTACTTATAGGTTCTATATTCAACCAGATGTCCAAAGTTAGAACAGATATTTGAGAGATTGGTTTGTAGAGCATCTGATTTACAGAGGTAGTTTTTTCAAAGGCAGATTTGGTGACCATTTGCATGTTAAATGCCTTGACACCAAAATATATCTGAATTTGTTTAATAGAAAGGAAACATAATTAGGGATTGGTGGAGTATGTATTTTTCCCCTCATAAAGAAATGGTATGTGTGTATTTAATTTATTACATATATACTTTTAAATGTATAATGTAATAATGGGCTCTTTTAAATTTCAGGAAAGCTCTTTCCCTCTTTTTATCAATAATGTATGTGTATTTACCTTTATGCACACACTTGTGTACATATACATAGACAAAGAAATACAAGCACATATATAGAAATGTGGGCAGGTATGTATTTAATCAAAATGTTCACAAAATAGTTTGAAATAGTAATGAGAAAATTGACTCAATTTTTTTCAGATTGTTAGCTCTCTAATTTAATAGGGCTCTTTTGATTGTTACATAAATTTCTATATTCAGAGTATATGTGTGTGACAACATAGCTTTGAAATACTACCACTAAAAACATTAGCATGTTTTTGAGACATTAGCATTTTAGAAATTTCTGGCTATGAATAGAAATAATTTCACAACAAATGCTTTTACTTTGTCTGATTTTCAACTGGGATGAGTGGAAGGGGTTGTGATAATTTTCTCTTCTACAATTTCCTGCAAAGGTTAAATTTAAACCTTTTCCAAAGCATAAAAATTGCATTATACACTTTGAATTTACATGTTAATTCTACCACAGCTGTTTGGTTTTCAGATGAAGCCCTGACTTTATGGTGATTCATTTTCCTTGTGTACAAAAGAAACTCTTTTCTTAAAATCTTACAAAAGCAATTATTTGTATGTGTGGGTGTATACATGAATGAAAAAAACTTAGTAAAAGTGAATAAACATGTGAATTTTCTTTTCAAGGATCGAGCATTTGAATAAATGGGAAAATATTATTTCTAAACTTCTAAATTTCTAAATTTATGACCTAAATATTTCTGCTTCTAAAATAGGCCATTTTTTAAGCCTTGGAAAGAGTAGTCCTTGAGCAAAACTAGAAATCTAGACCAACAGGTAGGGAGTGAGGGTGGCAGCCCTATAGTCATGACAGTGTGAATGTCCTTTTCAGTGTGTATACAGGTTAATTTGATTGGGAAGATCCAGATTTGAAAGGAGAAATGGAAAATTCTTTGAAACTCTCTCTTCTTTTTTCTTTCTTTCTTTCTTTTTTTTTTTTTTTAACATTTTGCAGTTGTTTCTTCAGGTTCATAATTTCCTGGGCCTGTGATACAAATTACCACAAAATGGGTGGCTTAGAACAACAAGAATTTATTCTGTCATAGTTCTGGACACCAGAAGTCCCAAATCAAGATGTCTTCAGGGCCACACTCCCTCCAGAGGCTCTAGGGAAATACTCTTCCTTGCCTGTTGGGGCTTCTGATGGGCTTGTAGACCCATCACTCCACTGTCTGCCTCTGCTGTCCCAGAGTCCCTGTCGTATTCTCCTTGTGTTGCCGTGTGTGTCCTTTCGTGTCCAGGTTTCCCGCTTAGAAGGACACCAGCCCTTGGATTAGAGCCCACCCTAATCCACTATACCTTATGTCTATAGAGATCCTATTTCAGAACAAAATCACATTCACAGGTTATGGATGACCATGAATTTGGGGGACACTATTCAGTACAACCAGTAAGTTAAAGGATGCACTACAGGGTTGTTGTAAAGATTAAAGATCATATTTGTGAATGCCCGTACTTTGCCTCGTTATAATGGGCACTCAATACTATTACATTAACTTTGTACTCCTTTTCTTCTTGAGTGTCATGTCAGACTTGCATGAGCTGAACAGGAGAGATGTCATTTTTATGTGGTGTGAATAAGAGACCTCATAACAAAGTCTCTGTTTGATGTTTCCTCCTGAGGTTTGAGGGACTCTCCTCAGCCCCAACCAGCTTAGTGAATTTTCCGTCAAAAAATAAAATAATGTATTTCATGCATTCACATACCAGACCAAGAAAAGTTAAAATATGGAACTACCTACATTGACACTAAACAGGAAGAATAAGCACTGAAGAGTTTTTAAATATAAATATTAATTTGATTATTTTAATGTAATATGTTAGAGGATTTGATAAGGGGATCTGTGGTATTTATTAAAACTGAATCAAGAATTATAAGAGAGATTTTTTGAAAGGGGATAGAGAGCTATTATGCTTAGCATTCATTACAAAAGCAGTATGTTAGATTTAGATGAGAAATGAATACTTGATACCTTTACAATTTGTTTTATACAAATATTGGAAAGCTAGAAGACTTTTGTTAAGGATTTTTATTCTGAATTTAAATAGGAATGCCTATTTTAAGAACCTGGATAAGTTCTACCTTTCTCACCTAAAAGTTTTCTAAGATCCTCCTTATTTTTTTTTTTTTCATATTGTTTGAAAGAATGTTTTAATTCCTAAATTAGCTCTTCCTTTGAACAAGAAAGGAAGCTATACCTTTTTCTTTTTGGAAGAAATGTCATCTGTAGTCAGTACTAATTTTTTAAAGTACATCTGTAAATATCCCTTGATTTCTTTTTTTTAAAGTGAGCTGTTTGGTCTTATAGATTCAGCCCAGAATGACGATGAGCAAATTGCCTCTTCAAGCAAATGTCTATCCGATGACCACAATGGCCTATATACAGGACACCAAGCATCGCTTGACATTACTCTCAGCTCAGTCTTTAGGGGTTTCAAGTTTGAAAAGTGGTGCGTGTTGTTTGGATTCTTTTTTGCTCTTACAAGTTTCAGTTCCAAATGTATAATTTTTCTGTTGGTCATATTATTAATTATCATCTTCAGACACCAGCTATTAGTTAATTTTGGTTTTGTGAGAATAACATAAAATAATGTATTTCTTCAATCTTCTGATGAAGAATGAGGGACCTAAAGCTCCATGAAACCATGGCTTCTTAAAGATAATTTTTCTCTCCTGATAGCTCATTGTTTGCACAAGCCTCTGTCGTTATCATAATGGAATGGCTGTGGAAACTCTCCCAGAAGCCAAAGAGGAGAGGGAGCTGGGGTAAAAGTTAGAAATTCCCAGAGTTGCCTAAGTTCGCAAAGGCGGGACGTAACAGTTCAAACCTAGGTCCTTCTCTGAATCGTATCGTTCTAGGGCACTTCTACCCGAAAGAAGAAAGGGAGTTGCAATGATACAGCTAGGCAGATAAAGAGGTGACAGACACAACTTTAAGGATTCCAAAAGATAGAACAAGATGGAAAGAGAAAATAAATCGTAAACACAGATTAATTTTTATAAAACCTTCTATGGAGAGGCGTATGTCCTTTATAATACATATTTTTTCATTATCATTTATATGTAGTCAAATTGCTCTTCTTTCTTACATATTAAGAGTTGCTAAGACAAATGTCTTAAGGAGCCAGGCAGATAATAAAGGTGTGCAGGTACCTGACGTACCCTTTGCCCCAAACCCACTTTTTTAATTGGGCATATACATACATTCCATATGTCCACCCACACAAAAAAGCATACTACTCATCTTCTTTTGTGGCTTTCATTACACAGACTCATGAGATGATGCCATAAAGACATTAACGCTGTTAGAAAAATAATAATGGCCTCACATCAGGGATGCAGCGGGGAGTGTTGGGGCTTCGGCAAACTGGGGCACACCATTCCCAGTGAACGGTGGGGCAGCCGCTGCTCAGCGCCAGGTTGTTGTCACCATGGGGAAAGGGGCCCAGGGTTGCCAAATTTTTCTGCTTCTGAAGAGCCCAGGAGTCTGGAATTTTTTATGTTTTTATTTTTATTTTTTTTGGAGATTTTATTCATTTATTTGACAGAGAAAGAGAGAGACAGCGAGAGAGGGAACATAAGCAGGGGGAGTGGGAGAGGGAGAAGCAGGCTTCCCAGGGAGCAGGGAGCACAATATGGGGCTCGATCCCGGGACCCCGGGACCATGACCTGAGCTGAAGGCAGCCGCTTAATGACTGAGCCACCCAGGCACTCCATATGTTTTGATTTTTAAAAAATTAAGTCAACTATTTATAGATTGGACAACTTCACATAAAATTCCTAAATGTGGTTTAGGGACAGAGGAGCTTTATTTCTCAGCTTGCCTTTGTCAAGGGAAGTGACATAACTGTCTACTCCATGATTGCTCCAGTCCTAATGTCTAGTTCCCTATTTAAGGACCCAGCTTTGAGAATTTAAGGCAACGTTTAAAAATGGGGGGCTCAAGAGTCACACCTGGCCCAGGTGCCCCTGCTACAGACAGCCAAGCACCCTAGCATTTCAGTACCTACAAACAGAAGAACAATTTGAGTACAGCCCAGGAGATTTACTGAGTGTCACATATTATGAGGGCTAACATTTGGAGGCAGGGAGAAGAGAGAAACTGCCAAGAGATTGATGTACTCATTTGGGTGTGACATGATCAAGCTCTAGATGGCCAATTCGTCCCAGTGCCTGAGGAGCACATTCTAGACAGTTGTGTTCTAAAATAAATATGGAGGTAGTAACAACGAAAATTCTGACCATCACTGGCAGTTTTATGTACTGGGTACCTAAATTGAGGAGAAAGAACTAAACAGAGTTGGATTGACTGTGTGAAAATAATAGTTATTAAAATATTTTATGTATTGCTCTTTTATGCCAAAAGATCATTTAGTACTGTAACAAATGTGAATGAGTGGATGGATGAATATGCATATATTTTTATGTATGACTACGGTTTTTTTTAGTGTAAATATATGACTGTGGCTCTGGGTGGTTTTTTGCTTTGTTTTGGATAGGGTTTTTTGGTTTGTAGTCTCATAGCCTAATTCTTAGCTTACAACTTAACCTAGAGGAGGTGTGGAATTACTGCACAGCCAATGAAGGAACCAAATATGACCTCTTCTTGAACTAGAGGAGAGAGGATAGTTGATGCCACTAACTTAATACCAGGGAGGGAAGGGGGTACGTGCTGGGTGTCTCCAAATCCTGGGGTTTCTTCAGAGAATCACCAGATACCAAGTAACCAAAACGCTTAGTCTTTCAAATCCTTTTTAGATTCTACACATCTGTATTTGCCTTGTTACTCCAGGTGTGATGTATGTTTCCTAATGAACCTCGTAAATGTTTTTAAATTCCAGGTGCTACCACTAAAAATTTTAGAGGACATAATTTACTCTTCAGATTAATTCTTTTTAAATTTCACTTAAGTTTTGATCTGTCTCATTTTTAAATTTCTTACCAAATTTTACCAGACATTTATGAAGAAGAATGGAAATAAAGTCCTGTTTTTTGCATTTATCCTAGCTGTTTTGAGAAAGCCCTTGGTACTTTGGGCTATATGGATCTGTCTCCTTGGCTTAAATCAGGACCGTGCCTAAACTTATGTGATTGTCACTGGATGTTTGTATTAAATAACTCTGGCCAGTTTGTTTGTTTGTTTGTTAGGTCAGATTGAAGTTATCATGGATCGAAGATTCATGCAAGATGATAATCGCGGCCTTGAGTAAGGTGTCCATGATAACAAGGTTACAGCTAATTTATTTCGACTACTACTGGAAAAAAGAAGTGTGAATACGGTAGGAAAAAAATAATAACTCATACGTTCTGATGTTGTTTGTTCTTTGCCACCCAAAATTTGAAATTATGACTGTCCACTTTTTTTATGATTTTCAGTTCCCAGGATTGAGATATCTTTATAATAGGTGTAGCCTATATTGACAAAAAAGAGAACTTCGGTTACACATATGTCAGATTTGCATTTAGGTCATCTTATTTTTTATTTTTCCTTATTATGTAGATGTAAAATGTTAAAGAGTCAGTTTGGGTGACATTTTCTGAGATTATTTTGAAAGAAAATAAGAGTTGAATTTAAGAATAGAACTTAATCACATACTTAGATTAAGTTTGATTAGTAAAATTTATGGGAAACCTTAGTGTGCTTATTCTAGTCTTAGACTCCTCAATTGAAAATGGATTTACTTGTCTATCTTCTTGCTCAGTTTTCATTTCTCAAGACAAAACCTCAGCATTCCATTAAAAAAATCTGGCTAAAGCTCAGTTGGATGTAAACCAACATGACAATACGCCTCTTCAAGGCTACACAAAAGTCATCATCACAGTCCTCCGTGCTTTACTGATTTCCCACCTCAGATGATCTGTACACAGCCCTTTTTTTCTCACTCTGCTCTCCTTCTTTCTTCACTGATCCATTTCAGATCTTTTCTACTCTTTTTAGCTGGTGGCCTCACCATCGACTTCACATCTGACAGGGCTCTCTGTTCTAGGTATCAACCATCTCCTCCCACCCTTTCCTTCTTCCCTCATGTTGCAATAGAGACATTTTTACCTTCCTTTCCTCCCAGGCCAGTACCTCCACTTGTCCTTGCAACGTACCCCAGTGCCCTCCTCAGCATCATCATCCTCCTTCCCTCTCTCTGCCCTTCATAGCTGACATTTCCCTAGGAAAGAAACCCTTTCTGCAGGCTTTTAGACACTCTTCATTTTCTCCTATTAAAAATAAAAACCAAGGGCGCCTGGGTGGCTCAGATGGTTAAGCGTCTGCCTTCGGCTCGAGTCATGATCCCAAGGTCCTGGGATCGAGTCCCACATCAGGCTCCCGGCTCAGCGGGGAGCCTACTTCTCCCTCTGACCCTCTCCCCTCTCATGCTGTTTCTCGCTCGCTCGCTCTCTAAAAAATAAATAAAATCTTTAATAAATACATACATACATACATACATACATACATACCAAAAACAACCTCCACACAGACTCATGTCCATTTGCCCTGCTCTCCCGTCCTGTCTTCCACACCCAGTTGAGCCGCTTTGGAAGATGGGTTTATTTCATTGCTTCCGAGTCACACTCAACTCATTTCAGATTTGCTTTAGCTTCCCCCACCACACACACACCCTTGCCAGTGTCACGAGATCCACCATCTTACTTCACCTTGCAGCAGCATTCGACACTGACCATGTCACTTCTTAGAAGACAGTCTAGCCAGGGCTTCCGTGGTGCCATGCTCATCTGGTTTTCCTCCTAGCTCTCAAGTGGTTCTTTATCTCTCTGATGGTTATTAAGCCATTAAATGTCAGAGTCCTCAAGGGTTGGCCCCATGCCTTCTCCTTTTCTCGTTTTATATGTTCTCACTCTGCAATCTCTCCTACTCCTGTGGCTTTGGTGACCACCTCTACGCAGATGAAACCCACACATATATTTCACCTCTTACCTGCAGACCCATCTACCTAGCTGCATCCTGCTATTCAGACCCGACATATCCATGATCACTCTCATGATCTCTCTTCCCTTCCCCCCAGACCTGCTCTTTTCTAGTGTTTGCTCTCTCGGGGACTAGTACCACCTTCCATCCAGTGCCACATACATAGCAGTCATCTCTCATTGATACTTCTCCTTTGCCTGCCCCTTTCTTAAAACAATGATCACCAGTGTTGACTATCTTATTGCCTAAATATTTCAAATCTATAAACTCGCTTATTTTGACCACCATTATCTAAACAAACATCATGTGTTTCCTGAATCATTCTGCTCTTCTTTTCCTGCCATATTTGTTCTCAAATCAAGTAAGCAAAGTGATTCATCTTTTCAAAATTCAATCTGACCTCACTGCTCCCTTCTTAACCCTCAGGTGTCTTCTCATTGCTCTCCTAATAAAAGCCAAAATCCTTCCCATGGCCTGAAGAGCCCCTCATGATCTGGGCCCTGCCTGTCCCCCAGCTTCATCCAGCATGACTCGTGTTATTTCTGCTCTAGGCCCACTAGTTTTCTTTCAGTCCCAAGTGCTCCCTACGCACCTGGGGCCCACAGCACCTTTGCATTTGTGGTTTCATTCTGTGCCCAGGGAACTCTTCATAATAGTTCAGGCCAAAGCTGCCTTGGTCAACTGCTTTTTCTTGACCAGGCCAAATCACCATCCTCAGTGCCTCCTCAGAATTGCGCATCTGTCCTCCGTGCATAGATGTGATTATATTTGATCATTGTCTCTCTCCTCTTTTGGACCATAACTTCATGAGAGTGGGGGCCATGTTCCTCTGCTTCTAGAATTGTTCCTGGTAGAGGAAGCACCCGATATGTGTTGCATGAATGAATGCACAAATGCATAAATGAGTGAGCTGTAATAGCGCATGGTGCCACCGCATTTATCCCAGCCCCTGCTTACTGCCTTGTCATACTCGGCATGTTCTCTTCCCCTGCTCCATTCCAGGGACTTGTCTGCTTCATTTTTATGTACCCCACAGGGCTCCTTGCCTATGGTAGCTATTCTATAAATAAAACACTGGTTGATTGAATGAAATGGCAACAGCTCATTAAAGCCAAGAATTCTTTCAGTATCTAGAATCTTTTAGGAAAAAAGGTTTTAATATCCATTTTTAGATGTCAAGATTTAAACCAGTTCTTGGGACTCATGGTTTAAATCAATTACTGACAAGATAGCTTAATTTGAGGACTAAAACTGCGCAGGAAAATCATTGTCTGAGTGCTGGCAGCTACTGTCTTTTTCTCCTCCCGAAAATGTCTCTGGCTTTTATGATTTTTTTTTCTCTCTATATAGACACTAATTTGCAAAGCTTCTATTAACTATGGCAATAAGCATTTTCATGTCAGATCTATAAAGCTTTCACTTAGAAGTGAAATAATTTGTTTATTCCCATTCAAAACTCCTTGGATAGTAATTGATTGAAATTTGATCCAGTGTTTGTATAATCCTATGTTGGTTAAATTTTTCTTTTTGCTCAACTATAGATTCTTGGACTTAAATCAATAGTTTCTTTTAAATAAAAAATGAACTAGAGAAGAGAAAATACATTTTAATTTCTAGTGCAATTGATTAAAAAGGCATTTGATTAAGGAATGTTCCATCTCCTATAACTTAAACTTTACAGAAAGTGTTTTTATTTTCAACTCAGACTCTCATGTTTAAGATGTCGATGGTAGGAACCATGGTGAGGAGACAGTCTCTGTACAGGAAGGCATTTTAGTAGAAAGTCTTCAGCCTGCCAGTGCCTCTGGGAGGAGTTATCTGGGTGACTAAGTGGAACCGAATCCTGTTCGTGAGTGTTCTGCAGAGAGGCAGTGAGAACAAGGACTGGAATGATAATTGCTGTGAGATGTGCAGATGCCCAGTGGGTTACTGTAGCTATGTGAGGTGGACTATCATCCATGTGTAATGACCAACGGAAGCGGAAAGTGGGAATTGTCTCTTTGGCATTGACCCTTTAGGTTTTGTTTCTTTGACACTTACTCCCTATCCCTTCCTGCTGAAGACTGCTATAGGTAGAGGGCATTGAACCAGGAATTAGAAGTGCTGGGAAGTGTTCAGGTATTACAGTTGTGTCATTTTACCTGTGGATACCAGTTCTTTACATGTCAGGAAAAGGAGCTAGGAGAGATCAGATGAAAAGCTCAAATGCTGACAGGACTCAGAAAAGTGATGGCATGAGGGAGGTTGGTCAGGTTTAAGGGCAAACGCGTAAGTGTGGTGACCCCAGGTCTGTGATGAGTGGGGACACATCCCACCAAGGAGCTACAACTCAGCTGCACTTGAGGGTATATGGGGGCCCAGGGTGACTTGGGTTTCCAGTGTTTTGGGTTAAAAAAAAAAAAAGTTACCTGTTTTAGGGAGTTTTTTTGTTGTTGTTGACAATTTCACTGTGAAATCTCCTGGATTTTTTTTCTTTTTTGAGAGTTGGCCAAAAAACAGACAACTTTTTAATACCATGCAGACCTATCAAAACCTATCTGTAGGCAGATTTAGCTCACAGATCACCAGGCTTCACCTCTGCGCTAAATGAAATATATTTCTAAATCTTATGATTCATTAATTTTCATCAATTATTTCTTCTGTCTCTTTTTACCACATCCTTTCTCCTACAGTATTTTTCTCTCCTTTATTTATATTACATTTACTTGTTGATAGATTAAGTTTAAAAAAACATTTATCAAGTTCTCACCATGTATCAGGTCATACTGAATAAGCCAAAGTGACTCAAAATATCATCTCTTATTGTCTTAGATAATTTATTTAGCAAGTTTTGCTGTAGATGGATGGAAACCTTTGATGTTTAGGGATCAGATAACTTAAATGGGCTTCATGAAGGACACCATGGAGCCTAGCAGGAAGTTCTGATTTATAAAATAAGGGCTGGAACCCAATGGAGATCTCAACTTCTTGTGGTTTGGATCAGAATGTGCTATAAACTCTTTATAATTTCATACAGAATGCAAGGAGAAAGCTAGATCTGAACAGCTTGAAGCCTTCCAACCCACAAGGAACCAAATAATGTTTAGAGTAGTATATTAGTACTGCAAGGCTGGAGAATTCATTTACAGCTTAAAATTTCCTATAGCAAACATGTGTTATAAGCTTTGGGTTTATCATAAAGGTTACAGTTAAAAGATTACCTTTCCAGGAGATTAATCAAAAGGTGATGATTCACCAGCTAAATATCTTGTCGAGCCCCTCGTTGCTATAAACATGTTAAGAAAGTGCATGAATCATGGAACCTTCTGTGAGATTTTGTCCCACCCTGCCTGGCCAGCTTCCAGCAGCGTTATTTGTTCGTGGTGCTTTTATAGCTCTGAACCACAAATCTTCCCTAAACTTCTCTCCCTTATCCTGCTTAGGACAGTAAATGGCACAGTTCTTGAATTCTCGAAGCACTTACAGTCATGATATTGTTTCCTTTGACGAGACTTAGCATTAACATGTTCCTGAGTCTGAATCATTTTCTTAATCCAAAACTAGTTAAAGGATGAGACTCAGACATTTGATTGCAAAGGCAGCGGTTTCTTCTACAGGGTTGGGAGGATGTCTGGGGTGATGGTTCCCAGCACGTGTCCACAGAGCTGTGTCAGACTGACCGAGATTTGAGATTCACTCTGGGGGCTGTTAAGCTTTGGCTTCCTAGGGCTCACCCCTGGAAATTCTGATTAAGTAGATTTGGGTTAGGGTTCGGGGATCTATGTTTAAAGCTCCCCAAGCCATTTTTATGTATGGTAGGTTGCAGGGGGGCACTGAGAGTCAAGGGAACTGGTGTGGTTGGGAGGAAGAGTATATATGCACATTACTGTTTGAAAGGTATACATAATCCATCAAGAAGTATCCCACCTATTCACTGAAGTGTCCAGGGATTCCTCCAAGAGCATAGAACAAAGTCAGAGAGCTTTCTCTGAATGTTACTTGACCTAGAATGGACTTAATGCCTTCTGATTCTGATACGGCAGGTGTCTTCTTTTCTGTTGGGATCTTTTATCTTTTATTATTGAAAAGTGATTTTGTCAGCAATCCTGACCTAGATTATGAAGTCCTCTGATCTTGGAGTACATTTAAAGTTTCCAGTTGAAACTGTTCCCTCAGTATTCAACAACATGCATTAAATTTCAGTATTGTTGGTGAATATTATTATATATGCTTTTTTAATCTTTCTTTAAAAAAAAGAGTGTGGGATGGGTGCATATTTTATTTACAAGTCATTTAGACCTTGTGTCAGTATCTCAGTATGCACTGTCCCTCTACTGCCTTTAATTTTTTTTTCTTTCTCCATAGTCTGAATTGTAATGACATCTACAGTTCGCTGCTGGCAAGATGCTTGTCACTCTTTGCTCAATACCCTCTGTTCAGTGCTAATCTGACATTCTGAATTTTAAGCCCCGTATCTCCTATAAATCCTATCTTTTCGGCCAGATAAGTAGCCAAGCCTTTTATTTGAGCCCTGTATTGCAGAAAGGATGCAAAATCAGAGGATATCAGTGAAATGGACAGTTTAAAAATAAGATACAAAATTAAATTTGTTCCACATGTCACTGTTGATCAAAAAACCTTTCTACATAAATTATTTTCTCTTCTCAGTGTTTTTCTCTGTGTGCTCTTATACCTTAGGCATTATTGGTTAAGATTCTACTTAGTCATCGATTTAGTTAATTGAGTGTGTCATCTACCATATGCCTATTGCCAGCCCTGGCAGACTTGTTTAATGTTTGAACATGCAGAACCACTTGTCTTTAAGTATATACCATAGCAATGACTAAAGTACTTTTAAATTCTACTGAATAATTGTGTACTAGGTAAATATGCACTAACTATTATATAACATAATTTAACAGTTTCAGTTCAGTGGTAGTGATTTACCAAATTTAACAGATGATATAGGTATACTCCTTGTGTTATTTTAAAAACCTTATTTATTTTGAGAGTTTTTCCCCCAAAAATCCTGTCATTGGGTAACATGTATGGAGCATAGCTTCAGATCACAAGATGTTATGGTCTAGTTGAGTGTATAAATGAAACCATGAGTATATGGTGGGTAAAACCTGAGGGAGAAGAGATCACATTTGATGATGTGCAAGATGTGTGAATATCCCAGCCCATCTATTTAAGAATTTTGTGGTAGGTTGAGAAAGAGTTTCCGTAAAATGTTATGCCTTGTCCTAAAATGTTTTTTGGAAAATGTTATCAGGATTTTTAGTACTACAGCAATGGAAAAAAGATCTTTCTAAACATGAGTTAGGTGGACACTGTTCATTTTCTTGTATTGCTTACAAATGGACTTGGTAATCTCTGTGTTGGCTAAGACTGTTATTTACAAAATATAAAATTAAAATATTTGTTTTTGTTTATATTTCTTTTCTATTTAAACCCTGTCAGGTAATTCCATTAATATTGTGAAAACTGCATATATATATATAACACTTAAGCATTTCTGTTTTTTCTTGATAGGAAGAAGAAAATAAGTCAGTTATCCTTCTCTCGTTAGCCACATAACTTCCTCTTTCCTGAATCATCCTGTCTTTACAATGACAGAAAAGATCCCCGTGCCCACCCTTCAGCTGCTAGGTGAATTCTCTCCGTTACTGTCATCTTTGCCTTGTGACATTCATCTCGTTAATCTGAGGACAATACAGTCAAAGGTATATCCCAAAATGTATCTATAAAGAATTACGTTTTTGTGATGTATTTGATATAAGGGGATGAGAAGCAGAAAGAACTGCAGCTGACCCTTGAACAGCATGAGCTGGAATTGCACTGGTCCACTTACACAGATTGTTTCCCATAAACACACTACAGGACTGAAAATGTATTTTCTCTTCCTTATGATTTTCTTAACATCATCTTTTCTCTACCTTCTTTTATTATAAGAATACAGTGTAACATACATATAACATACAAAATGTGTGCTGATCACCTGTTCATGTTATCAGTAAGGCTTCCAACCAAGAGTAAGCTATTAGTTGTTATGTTTTGGGAGAGTCAGAGTCATGCGGATTTTTGACTCGGGGGAGGGGGATCATCGCCCCTAACCCCCTGCACAGCTCAAGGGTCAACGGTACTGTGGGTTTTACTGCGCCTCGAGGAGCCGTTAAGAGGACTTGGCCTTTAGGCAAAATCATTCTACCTTTCATTTGACTGTTGCTGTGTAGTTTAGAGCATATCCCACTACTAATTTATGTTATTCCCGGAAAAGTTCTATGTGGTGAGAAGGTCAGGGTATATTATCTTTGTACAGATAAGAAAGCAAAAACTGGCCCTGGGGTCACATTATAGTAGGTGGGAGAACAGGCCGTAAGATCAGCTCTTCTGGCATTTTCCATTCATTTCTCCTTGTTAGCCAGTGTTTCTTGAGGAGTTAGAGAATTAAGAAGCATAGCATTTAATTATTTCTGTATCAGAGGCCTTGTACATTCACATCTTTCTCTTGAAAATCACTGCAACTCAGATGTTTGCATTGAGAAACCCAACTATTTAGAGACATCCAAAGATATACTAGAGGAAGAGAGGGGAAGGTTTTATTAGATTTGGAATTTTAATTCAGTTAGACTGCTTTTGTTTACATGTATGCCTACTTTTAAAGTCAGAGATTGCATTTGAAAAGAATAAAAATTAGACATTTGACATCATTTTTATCTTTTGTAGAGCTGTTTTGTGATACTGTGAATTGACATATGTGTAGCTACAAATAGTCTTAAGTGCTTAGGGATTCTGCAGGGAATGTAATAAATGGTCTGAGTATGAAAAGAAGAGAATGCTCATGTTTGAAGACCACATAAGAAGAGAAAAATGTTTCGTTTAAGCACAAAGAACTAAAGCAAACCAAGTAAAGTAAGGCTAAATGCCTGCAAATTTGGACATATAGGGCTTTTAAAACTGTATGACCAAGAGAAGGAACTTAGGCCTATGTAGGAATATCCATGAGGCTTATGATAATGAATACAGGTGAACACAGGAGGCCTGCGTATATCTGCATGTGTCAAAAGCCTTGTTTGATCATGCGAGCGAACCAGGATTTATTTCATGCCTACTACGTGCCAGTTATAGCTAAAGGCAGTAGGGATACTGTCATGAGCAAACCAGACAATCACCCCTGCGTTTCTGAAGCATGGATTCTGGTGGGAGGAGAAAAATAAGAAAAAATAAGAGAAACATATAATGTGTTAGATGGTGATAAGTGTTAGGGAAAATAGGGAAGGATGGTTCTGGAAGATGATGCGAGTTTGCATAGTGTGGTTGGAAGAGGACCTTGCAGAAAGGGTGTTAATGGAGTAAAAATCTGAAGGAGGTTAGAGAGTAAGTGACTCATGCAGATTTCTGGGGGTAGAGTGGTCCAGGAAGAGTTACAAGCAAGTAGAAAGGCCTAAACATGGGTGCCGTGGTGAGAATAGAAGCTCCATGTGAGCTGGTCTTTTCTTTGATTCCTTGCTGCATCCTGTTGCCTAGAAGAATGGTTGCACATAGAAGGGGCTCAGCAACAATTTGCTGATTGAGCGAATCTCATGAGCTCTGTTTCTAGGATTCTGCTAGTCTTTTGTGGGTCAACTTTTTGACTCATGGAAAGAACACACCAGCGATGGATAGCCTCCCTGAGCTTTTCCTCTCATTAATTCATAAGCCAAAGGGAATGAGGGGATGGGGGGGGTGGTACTAAAGACTCTGAGCCTCAGGTTGCCACCTCTGGGCATGATGGTAGAGGACATTAGCAACCTAAGGATCTGAAGGCTTCTGGGGCACATGGCGGCCACTGTTCCTTAGCCTCGTTTCTAGATGACTCTTTCCCATGATTGTTTTCTGGAAGCAGATCCAGTTGTCTGGAGTCAATGAATGTTGCTATTCAGTTGGTTCACACTCTGAAGAATTCGGCTCCGTGTGGTCTGGTCTCCACTCACTATGTCCGCTTGGCTTCCCCTTGTTCCTCACACCCTTCAACAGCTGGCCCACCTCCACTCCCTGATGGCTGGCCGAGTGCCGACTCAGCTGCCCGTTATAAAATGGGGCTGATATCAGATCTGCCTGCTGCGGGTCTGTTGTGAGCAACACATAAACTAATGCTTGTGAAAGCCCTTTGGAAACAGAAGTGCTTTATAAACATACGTTGTCCTGATGGTGCTTATGGTACTTGCCGGCTCAGGTGCAAACTAGGGTTTTAGCAGAGGAAATAGAAAGCAATTTAACAATTTGACCAGGAAGAATAAAGGCTGAAATATTATGTGTAACCATAACTAGCACACTGGCACATGATCAGAAGTCGGTATTATTGGGGGCTGTTTTACTTTATCCTATCAATCAGTGCCGGTTCCTGTGTTAGTCTTTGACTCTTAGCACATATTTCTAACAGTTGGTTAAAAGCTCACCGGTAATCCAAGGGGATTGATTTGTCCATTCAAAATCACTTCTTTAAAGAATTGCATTCTGTCCCTTAACCTCTGATAATAGGAAAATAATCATTGAAAGAAGCTGACATAGGTATTGAATCAAAGAAAGCTCGGTACTTAAAAAGGTGTCAAGTGTAATTTCATGGTTACACTAAAAGAAGACAAAAATCACTTGGAAGAAATCCAGAAACCAGACCTCAGCATTTTGGATTGTATCCCTATTTCTGTGTGCTGGCAGCTCCAAACATATAATAATGAATTGTTCCTCTGGAGGTTGCAAAGCATTTTTCCCATTGAAGTAGTGTGAACATAGCTCTTAGCTTCCAAGCCAGACCAGGGTCTCCACTGGCCTGTATGTAAGTAAGCATTTTCCTAACTACCACCTCCCACAAGAAACATGTCTGAGAACCACCTTCACAGGATGGAGGCATGTCTTTGTTTCTGCCGCACCTCCTCGTCGGCAGCGGGATGGAGGAGGCCCCTGCTTGCCCAGCTCCCGGGTCACCGTCTGATGGTTCCTCAAGTTCTAAACGTCACATGGGCAGCCTGACTCCTCAGGGAGAAAGGGGTTATGGACTCGAGCAACAGTGAGAGAGGCAAGGTAGGGTTGGAGGTGTTGCTAACCCACCAAGGTGCTGCAGCATTTCCAGCTACCAGTCCTCAGAGTCCTATGTGTCCAGATCACACCAGGGAGATTTTGAAATAGAGAAGACTTACAAATTTCCCCATCTCTGAGATTCTGATTCCCTAGGTCTGGGGTGGGGCAACTTAGGAATCAGTAATTTTCAAAAACTCTCATGATTCTAGAAATTACTGTTATCTCCATTGACTAAGTTGGGAAAGTAAAAGTTAGAAATTAAATGACTAAGACAAAATTACACAGTGGTACATGGCTGAATTAGGGCCCACATGCAGGTTTTCTGAATCTGGGTGCTGTACAGGGCCTTAGAGGGTGGCGTTTGACTTCTTAAGAGTTACTAAATCTGTTCCTCAGAGTCCAGTTTTTCAGGAATTATTCTGTATTGGTAGATGAGTTTATGGTTTTATATAAGCATATGTTGCTCTTATTTTATATGTTTTTGGAAAAAACTGATTGCATGTCATCTAGTTGCAGTCAGAGGACGATGGGAGCAGGCATCTCTTAAACCCTGCCTCGCAGCACCGCCGAGTGTGCCAGTGAAGTCCCGTCTAGCAGGGAACTGTCAGCCTTCTCCTCCTGGAGGCTCGGCCCCCCTCTCTTCTCTTTACCAACTCCTTTTCTTGTACTGTCAGAAGCTTGAGATATTAAAAAGAAGATTCTGTAAAGGCTTGAAAGCTGGGGAACAGGAGCACCAGTGAAGTGGTCGGGAACAGGAAAACCATGCCATCCTCAGGAAAGGGTATTGATTGGGGGGAAGGGAGTCTTGGTAGAGAGGATGCTGAGAGAATCTCACAGGGGCATGGATCATCGGTTGGGGTTCTGTAGGCTGGAGAGATAGCTTCAGCCTGGAATGCAGACATTCCAGGGACCAGAAGGAATTTGATTAAGCCATTTAATTAAAGGCTTCATGGAGCCATGCTGCCTTGATGTTTTGCACAATGATACGTTGTTCAACCTTTTTCTTTCCCCCAGATTATTTCCACCTCTTTTATGTTCAGATGTATTTTTATTTAATTCATTTATAGATATGTATCTTTATATCTGTATCTACTTCTCTCTCTGTGTATTACATTTAGCTCTATCTCTGACATTTTATTCTGATTTCTGCTTAACCATTTCTTGCAAATAGTTAAATATTATCATTTCAACATCACCACTTACTGAATAAGATTTTCTCTCTCCACTTGTTTACACACCCCCTTTTCTTATAAGAGGCAGTTTAAGGTTTTTACTTCATTTTGCCTTTCTTAGAAGAATTGATCGGTGCTTTATTAATCTCCCTGGCTTCTGGAAAGGTGAAAATTGTGGAGAAAATTTCCTCGTTGTACAGCCCTTCACCTTCTCTGTTCTTTCTGTCATCTTATCTTGTTGATCGAAACAGGATAACTGTTATTGGACATTTTAATGAATGCCCTGGAAAATGAATTCCTACTGGTTACTTCCTGTCTCAGGACTTAAAATGCAGTGTTCAGTTTTCCCACCTTTCCAGTTGCCAGAATACAGGGAAAGATGGATGTCAGTCGGCATTTTCAAGGAATCTGGGCAGGTTGGAGAAATTCCTCCACCAGCTGTTTAGCCATGCCTTAATTTGTATGGACCTTAGACATTCTTTGAGGAGGATAGA